TCCGAACAAACTTTTTCTTTGAGAACTTATTTGGAGGCACCTAATTAATAAGATGAAAATCAGAGCATATATGCAAATTAGTTAGTACGTGTGGCTCTTGCTTGGAAATCATTTTGCCACAGCCGATGAGTTGAATTCACACGGTGCAGTTATTAACGAGTTCAACTAGAAATAGAACTCAGTATTTGCTAAAACCATAGGCAAAAAGCTTACTTTCTACTAGTACTACCTACGAGAATGGCTTTACAACATTAACTAACTTTATTTATGGACTAACTAAGATAATGCAAAGTAAATGCAAAGAATCTGAACCAACCAGGCACGCATGGAGATTGCTAGAAAGAAAAAAATGGCACTACCACCATAATAAAGTAGCAAGCAGAGCCAGAATAATAATAAACTAAGAAAGAGAATACAAAGAAACGTGCTGAATCTGAACCAACTTATTTGGACTTTGGAGGCACCTGGCTAATTAATAACAAGAAAACCAGAGCATATATGCAAATTAGTTGCTAGCACTTGTAGCACTTGGTTGTTCAAGAAAGAAAGTAAGGAAATCAATCATTTTGCCTGCCACGGACGATGAGTTCACAGGGCCAATCTGATATATGTTCAACAGAAATACTACTACTCCCTCTGTTTCAGTTTACAAGTCTTGTGCGTATATCTAGGTTGTCAATTTTATCACTCTAATATAAACCATATAACACAAAAATTATACCGTTTGAAAAAAGAATATCTGAATTTTATATTGGTATATTTTCTGTAATATATGAGTTGTATTAGGTTGGTCAAATTGGCGACCTAGGGATACGCGCACGCCCTGTAAACTGAGAGAGAGGAAGTAGTATTTGCTGCAACCCTAGGCAAAAAGCTTACTTTCTACTACCTAGGAGAATGGCTTTCCAACATTAATAACTAATAAGTTTATTTATGGATGATATATACTACCTGATTAATTTCCCCTATCAATCAAGAAAGCGAATCGAAAAAAAAGCGTCTACATGTGGAATCAAGGAACCACTGCAACGAAGGAACAGGGAGGGAGGGGTCTCTCAGGAGAGGAGAGGAGAAGCGAAAAAAGGCGGTACCTTCCTTCAGCACGGCCGGCCGGGAGACGCTGCCGCTCGAGCTCGGAGAGTGCCGCCGCCCGCTTCTTTGATTCGGAGGAAGAGAGCAGAGTGTAAACCCTTACAGCGGAGCGGAGGAAGATGTGGGCCTCGCTCACATGGGCTGCGGGCCCGAGCGCTATTTTTCGGCCTTCTACACATTTTTTTCTTGACATAAACACAGAGAAATCTAAAATCCACGATTTTTTTTCATCTACTTATTAAAATGTCTAGCAGTTTTTTTTAAATGTTCCTCTATGCAAAAAAGAAATGTTCATGTGTGATGCGAAATGTTCACATGTATCAAAATAAAAATAAATGTTTGTGTTTATGAAAAAGTGGGGCGTGTATATTTTCATAAGTCTTCCTGCATGTAAAAATAAATGTTCCTGTACATCAGTAAGAATTACCTCATATTCCGGAAGGATTCTTACATGTGAAGGAAATATTCATATATGTTTTGAAAAACACATAAGCACAATTGTGCATCACCATGAAGTGCAACTATGCTTTTCATGCAAGAAGCACACATGTGCTTCACGCGTGAAGAAAAATATGCTTCGCATGGAAAGCACACGCTCCTCCCAGATGTGAACCGAAATATTAAAAACAAAACAGGAGAATCAAGAAAAAATCAGGAAAAAACAAAAATGATAATATGCTCTCTCGGGTGCATTCAACGGTCGACACTGACGGCCGCTGGACTTGCCAGTTGACGTGTTCACGGCTCCCCAAAATGCCTGCTACGGAGCCTTCCAAGGGGCGCCCCCTTGTTAGGTGCTTCCATAGTATTCTCACCTCCATCACTCAGAAAGAGAAAGGTAAATGATCTGTGTGGGTCGAGCGATAGCGTTGGTCGCATGCCTGCTGCTCGATCGCGTAGCATTCCATGCACGCTCTTGGTGCATGTGTTGCATTGCTTGCCCCCCTACACATACACACGCCTCGTCAGTGGTGCAGAATGTACACCGTTGATGGTGGTGCTAGCAAAAGAATAGGATGCGCTTGTCGAGCCCAGAACACCCTGCACCAAGCCCATCAGTCATCATACGGTGCTACTATTGCTCTGCACATTCATTGTTGCCTTGTGCGCCTCCAACTTCAGGATTATGGCTGGGAACCAAACATTATGTTTTTTCCTACAAGCATGTCAACTTCCTTGAACTCGCTCCAACCCGTGTTAGACTCACTGCTAGCAGGTGCCCGCGTGCCCGTCAGTGGTGAACGATACCATTGATGGGTTAACTTACCCTGTACTGTTAGTAGAAATGGTCCGGCCCGCAAAGGGTGCTTCGATAGTAGTGTCCGATTTACACCTACTCCAACTGGCTAGACCTAGTAGCTATTATATAGGCGCATGCAATTGGTGATCACGATTGAACCTTCACTGCCAGCTGTTAGCGGTTGCCATCGATTCCTTCTTGATATGCTCATGATAGCGCAAGCGTGAAACTAGCACTGCTAGGCCATGCAAGCACTCCATGTCACCAATGATAGGGACTAAGGGTGTGTGCTGACAGCTTGCCACTGGCAGGCGCTAGTGAAACAAGGGTGGAACGCCTCGAATTCCTATTCAAAGCTCACTGCGATACGTAAGGAAGCTTTGCATGCACCTTTTTTTGATATGGTTTTCCTTTGGTTATTCTGGCCTTTTGTTCCTATCCCCCGCCCTCTCTCTTTTTTTCTTTTCATTTTTTTCATAAAGAATTAAAGATGTCAATGATTTAGCTTTTAATTGACGATTTGATGTACTCGCCCTACCTTCTAGCCAATCCTCTCGGTGTTTTTCATATAAGCTAGCATCAGTATGCTGAGGGGACTGAGAACAACCCATTTTTCTCATGATTCAATGCCCAAAAGTCGTCCATTCTCATTGTGCGTAGCAGTATGCTTAGAATAGCATTTGAGTATGTCACGATGAAAACTTGTTCATTGACGTCCTTTCTCCATGTTTGCGTTTGTACCATCAATCAAGTCGCTAACCAAAGTTGGTGGATTGGCCATGCGGCAAGCAATAAGCCTCATAGTTCCATCTCCTATTCTCCTTATCAAGCTTTGAATGAGGACATCCCGACCTTCTAAAATCGCCCTCCAAATCTAAGACGGTCTGCTTCCTAGTTCAGCAGTAAGTGTGCATATACTTGGGGTAGTATATGGCTTTTAAAATGCATGCACAGAAAGACTCTGGCTGCTGCAGTAGACGCCAGGACTGACGAGCCAAAAGAGCTAAATTGAAAAATTCAAAATCTCGAAAGCCAATTTTAAAATCGCCCTCCAAATCAAGCTTTGATTGAGGACATCCCGACCTTCTAAAATCGCCCTCCAAATCTGAGACGGTCTGCTTCCCAGTTCAGCAGTAAGTGTGCATGTACTTGGGGTAGTATATGGCTTTTAAAATGCGTGCACAGAAAGACTCTGGCTGCTGCAGTAGACGCCAGGACTGACGAGCCAAAAGAGCTAAATTGAAAAATTCAAAATCTCGAAAGCCAATTTTAAAATGCATGAGAGATGGGATTCAAACTCGTGACGCGTTAGATGTGTGATCAACACGATAACCACCTGACCACCCCACACAGTGTGATTACTTACATGTTTTTCCGTCATTTATTCTTTCTTTTTTCCCCTGCTTTATCTGTCCTTTTTTCCTCCTTTTTTTTACAAATTTGCAATCTTTTTCCTCAAATAGATGAACTTTTTTCCTAAATCCATGAACTGATTTTTTGAACCTCGTGAACTTTTTTTCAAATCGATGAACTTTTTAAACTCATGATTTGTTTTCAAAATCAATGAATTTTTTTCTAAGTTATATAATTTTTTTTGCAAAATACTCCCCCCGTTCCTAAATATAAGTCTTTTTAGACATTCAAATAGACTACAACATACGGATATATGTAGACATATTTTAGAGTGTAGATTCATTCATTTTGCTCCGTATGTAGTCACTTGTTGGAATCTCTAGAAACACTTATATTTGGGAACAGAGGGAGTAGATAAACTTTTATCAACTTTTGATGAATGTTTTGAAAATTCATGAACTTATTTTTAAAATCAATGAACTATTTTTGAATTATGGATTTTTTTTCCAAAATTGATGAAATTTTCTCAAAATCTGTCATTTTTTAATTCACGAAGTTTTTTTTCCCATTTTTTCAAAAATCAGCCAACCAACTAGAAGCGAGCGAGCGAATTATTGCATCACGTTCGAGTTCCTTCGTCGATTGAACTTTAGTTGAGCCAGCCCAGTAGCGTCACCAAGCGCTCGTATACTAAACCTGCGCTGAGAGCGCCGGTTAGGAGCTCCCGCAAAAACCCTCGTCGAGGCACCCAAAATATTTCCACTTCCTTTCTCGGCTAAAAGCCCAACAATGCCCTGTCTCCCTTTTTTCAAACACACCATTAAAATTTATCTTTATGTATGGTGGAATCATTTGCGCCGGCGCACGGGAGGCAATTGAGAATTCATCCGGTTCAACTCCTCAAGGAATGTTAATGCAAAAGAAAAGAACAGATAACGGGATTTGGTACTTATTCTCATGAATAATCTTCCGACGAGCTTTAAAAAACATATACTATATGAGATTCATTAAAAAAAAACTCTATTTTTTAGTGGGCCACGCCAAATGCTGCCGAAGGAAAAAACACTTCATCCGTTCAAGCCCTTCTGTGTGTTTTGCGTCTGAAACTGGACCTTGCGACGGGCCTCCATACGCGGAATCCTCACGATCCACGAACCCGAAGGCCCATCCATCCATTGGATTGGACGAGCTGCATTCGGCAGGCTAAACCCAAGCCGGCAGCCCGCGAGGTCGCACCACCGTCTCCGACGTCCGACCGACCCGAGCCGAGCGACGAGTAGGGTTTGCCTCGCCGCCGCCGCTCGACGCACCCGCGATGGCGGCGCTGGTGGAGACGAGCATGGGGGTGGTGCGGGAGGTGCTGGGCGACTCGGTGGTGGACGAGGTGGACGAGCCCATCGTCTCCTACATCGCCAACGTCCTCGCCGACCAGGACTTCGACTTCGGGCCCCCCGACGGCCACGGCATCTTCGACGCCCTCGGCGACCTCCTCATCGACGCCCGCTGCGTCTACGACCGCGAGCACTGCCTCGAGGTACCCAACCCCAATCCCGCCCCCGCCCCCACCCCCATCCCCGCGCCGGCCCAATCAATCAATCCGGTCGCCATTTCGCTTCCCCAATCTGGGTTGATTCGATAGAGCTTCGATTTCATGCCCCCTAGGTTTCGGTTCCAGGTTAGATTCGATTCGGTGTATGCTTCCTATGCCACCACCTGTTTCATGTCTTGGATGCCAGAAAACCTAGCTTAATTAGCGCTCAGTCACAGTAACATCATTCGGTAGCCATCCGTTTATAACTGCAGTCTAGCTCAACCTGTCCCTGATGTGTTCTGTAATGACTTTTACTTGTTAGTAGTCACCGACCTTTACGACCCCGTGCACGCACACAGACGGATTCAGGGGTGGCGAAGTAGGTGAATAGTTTGATTATGATCCAGCATGACCCTGATGCCTTTTTGCTTCCTTCTTGGTATGATATAGGTCTGCACTAAGCTCTGTGAGAAGTTGGGAAGCCATGGCATCGTCAAACCTAAGGCAGCCGTGCGGAGCCTCGCCACGCCTCTGCGCATGAACGCGGGGATGGAGGAGCAGGTCGCCCCCAAGAAGCCAGAGAATATCTTCGACGCGCCCTTGCTGTCCTCGCGCGACAAGGCCAAGCTCGAGCGGAACAAGAGAAAAGAAGACAGGCAAAGAGAGGTGAGCTGCTCACTCCTAGATTGCCAGATGACAAATCTCCATGTCATTGATTTGTTCAGTACGAATTTCAGTAGAAATATACTAGTGCTTAGCATGTTTCCCCACTTTGACAGAACCATATATGCAATTTGAACGAAAATGCCTTCCCTCCTTATTAAACCTGATGTATATGGTATGGCGCGTTTGCTTGTTCGTGCAGGCCCAGTACCAAATGCATGTTGCCGAAATGGAGGCGCTCAGGGCTGGAATGCCTCCAGTTTATGTAAATCACAGTAATGTGGGTGGCACAACCATTAGGGATATCCATATGGAGAACTTCAGTGTTACTGTTGGAGGTCGTGATCTTATTCAAGATGTCACCTTAACGCTCGCTTTTGGAAGGCACTATGGTGAGTTAAGAATTAGCTTACTACATATGTCCACCTATTGAGGAGGCTCTCTAGGGTCCCACCTGCTCAGGACACGTTGCCTGCTTAGGATGATCTCATTGCTTATTTTATTAATAGAAAACTATGTGGTGTGTAGAAACTCTCTAGAAATAGCTTTGGAACAAGGGAACACAAATATTAAAGTATCACTTCTTGGGCATACAAGCATCTCTACCCCTTGAAATATTGCTGTATCAGTTCCTATTCCTTTTTTCCTTCAGTGATTTAGTTTATTTACATACCATTTCAGGTCTTGTTGGAAGAAATGGTACTGGAAAGACTTCTCTTCTCAGAGCTATGGCTCAACATGCAATCGACGGAATTCCTAAGAACTGCCAAATATTGCACGTTGAACAAGAGGTCACGGGTGATGACACAACAGCTTTGCAGTGTGTGCTGAATGCTGATGTTGAACGGGTCCAGCTTATGCAAGAAGAGGCCCAGCTGGGTCAATTACTGGTTAACTACTGCACTCATCAGCTTTTTACATGCCTTTCTTTGCTAATGTGTTCCTCTCTTTTGGGTGATTCACCCTCTTTTTTCGTTTTTTGTTGATTTGCTTATAGTCTGCTACTTTTATGCAGAAAGATCTAGAGTATGATGCAGAGTCCAAACAGAGCCTAGACAAGAGCAAGGGTGATGTTGACAAAGATTCTATCAGCAAGAGGCTTGAGGAGATATACAAGAGACTTGAATTCATTGATGCAGATGCAGCAGAAGCTCGTGCAGCATCAATTCTGGCGGTATGTTTCTTTTGTTGACGTCCATTGCTTTGTGATTTGTTCTTGTTGTCCCATTTGTGCAGCATGTCATTGCTGCCATTTCTCTCCTAGTAGCTAGTACTTACATTGCTTTAAAGAGTTATAGTTCTAAATACTAACATTGAACTATTCTGATTGGTTGAAATCTTTACAGGGTCTCAGTTTCACTCCAGAAATGCAATGCAAAAATACAAAATCATTTTCAGGAGGATGGCGGATGAGAATAGCACTAGCACGTGCTCTATTCATTGAGCCAGATTTACTGCTACTTGATGAGCCAACAGTGAGTTTAGAATATAGTGTTGCTTCTCTTCTCTTGCTGCCACATGCTAATGCTAACAAACCACCACTTTGCAGAATCATCTTGATCTGCATGCTGTGTTATGGTTAGAAACATATCTCCTGAAGTGGCCAAAGACATTCATTGTTGTGTCCCACGCTAGAGAGTTTCTGAATACGGTATGAACTCACAGTATAATTATGCAGTAGCTAATATCGACATAATTTGCTTAACTCATATTTTTCATCTTAATAACTGAATAACTGAGGGAAAACATTTCTTAGGTTGTCACCGACGTTCTTCACCTACATGGTAAGAAGCTACATGCTTACAAAGGTGACTATGACACATTTGAGAGGACAAGGGAGGAGCACCTCAAGAATCAGATGAAAGCCTTCGAAACAAATGAGAAGGCCAGAGGACACATGCAGGTTGGTTTCTGCTTTTAGTGGGTATGGTTAGCCCTCAAAGTACGTTAATAAACCCTTTAAAAGAAAATTGTGCTGATAGTGTCAAAAAAAGGAAAGAGAGAGAGTTGAAAGGTGGTTTGCACCTCAATGTGATCAACCACATATGTTTTAAGGTCTGATATAGTTTCCTTTTCAAGAGCATGCAGTAATTTCCCACTAGCCCTCTGACTTTCTAGTGCACCATATCTCTTCAAGATGTTACTCTGTTTAGCATAGAAGCTTATCTATGCTGGTCTTATGCTATTGAATTATACAGTACCGAATATGTTTGTTAGTTTGAAATGGTAATAGCAATAGCAATTGTAGGCAAGCAGAGCTTGTGTGACAGTCTGACCTAGGTCCTGCTTGCATTACCGAATATGTTCATTAGCTTGAAATGGTAATAGCAATAGCAATTATAGGCAAGCAGAGCTTGTGTGACAGTCTGACCTAGGTCCTGCTTGCATTGTTTACGCTTGAACACGATACCAACTTTAGATTCAAAGAACTATATCTGATCTTAGCTCAGAGGTGAAAGTAAAATTGAACTAGGTACAGTGCAGCTAGATCTTTTTGGAAAGATCAGGGATGAGGTTTGTTGATCTATTTTCTTTTGTAGGCATTCATTGACAAGTTCAGATACAATGCAAAGAGAGCATCACTTGTTCAATCAAGAATCAAGGTACATTTTCTTGCTCCTGTTTCCATGACCTCATCGTACAATGCATAACTTTTGTTGTTGTTTCAATTTACAGATGATTTACAGCACCCAACTAATAATTATTTACATGCTTGTTCAGTGAGTAAATTGATGTTTGTCCTCATCTTATTTATTTGCATTGTCTCAGGCATTGGAGCGAATGGAACATGTTGACGCTGTTGTTAGTGACCCAGAGTATGCTGGCTCCCTAAATCTGTTTTATTTGGTCTTTTGTCTACCATTGACTTAGCAATTGCCTGGTTAATCATTTGCAGCTATAAATTCGAATTTCCAACTCCAGATGACCGTCCTGGACCACCAATCATTAGCTTCAGGTTTCAGTTCTCATCCCTTGTTATTTACCATTTATGGAAGCTTGTTCTGCTCTTCCCATGCGAACCTCATGGTTCATGGCTTCTTATTCTTTTACTCTACTCCCTTTTATTTTGATCAACTACTCTACCATTTCTATCAAGACATAGCTGTTAGTTGTATACACATTCTCTTTTGAGATAGCTATATGCCTATATCATATAGCGATGAATTTGTTTTACTCGATTTTATCTGTTGAAATGAATGCTTATACGTTTGATTTGTGCAGTGATGCGTCATTTGGTTATCCTGGAGGGCCTATTTTGTTTAAAAACTTGAATTTTGGTATCGACCTCGACAGCCGCATAGCAAGTATGAATTATTTGTTCCAGTCATATTTTATTTACTGTAAAGAATAATATTTAGCTTTTGCTTCAGTGGTTTGTCCATTTTTTCCTCACATTTGATTTATTGTTTCCAGTGGTTGGTTCAAACGGTATCGGGAAGTCCACTATACTGAAATTAATATCTGGAGACCTGCAGCCAACTTCGGGAACAGTGTTTCGCTCCCCCAAGGTGCTTTATCCTTCTAGAGCTACACTCTAGATATTTTACTGGTTCTGCACAATTGTACTGCTTTCTCCTTGAGTGTGTAATAACTGTGACTAGCTGCCAGTGTTGGCTGTCGGCATCTCCTACTTCTCTTGCCAAGGTGTTATGATGTTTGTATCCATGCCATTGTGAAATTATACAGAAAATTTTGAAACATCACACATGTGAACTCTACTTGGATAATGAAACCACTTACAAGTGATACAATCATTTTGATATCATTGTTGATTGGTGGTTTATTTGTTGATTGTATAATGAACTCTCTTTTTCTGCACCGTCCTATCTGTGGCTTGTTGATTTATTTGTTCCTTTTACAGGTCCGCATGGCTGTATTCAGTCAGCATCATGTTGATGGACTTGATTTGACGGTGAACCCGCTTTTGTACATGATGAGATGCTTCCCGGTAAGCTCAAGCATCATGATTTTTTGCGGCGATGAAATGCTAGATTTAGTAGAGCATGATATTCACTTGGTGGGTTAGTGGGTAGTATGCTCTGTTTGGTATTTAACTTGAATATACATTTCAGCCCTGATATAAAGAAAGTGTATTATGGTCTGTTTGGTATTTACTTTAAATGCACATTTCTGCTGTAATATAGAAAAAAGAAATATTACCCTCCTTTTGGTATTTGACTTGATACAAATTTCTGCTCTAATATAGAAAAATTGTCTATGCAGGGTGTACCTGAACAGAAACTGAGGTCACATTTGGGTTCCTTCGGTGTTACAGGAAATCTTGCCCTCCAATCTATGTACACTTTATCAGGTACATAATAGCACAGCTGTCTCCTAGATGGATTTAGCTCATAGCTTATTGGCAGCTGAGACGAGTTGAAGCTTCCCTCAGCTTTGAGAGATTATGTTAAAGGGCTCGCCTACTTGTGTAGTTTTAGTAATGCCCTGCTCCTAATGAAAGCGCATTGCAATGACAGGTGGTCAGAAGAGTAGGGTCGCGTTCGCGAAGATCACCTTCAAGAAGCCGCACATTATCCTTCTTGATGAGCCTTCTAACCATCTTGTAAGTGAACCACCTCATCTTCCCTCCTCGCCCCCTCCCTCCTTGAGCATTAGTATAAGCAGAGATGAGAAACCACGGTAACAACAGTTCCTGACATCGTGAATTTTTGTGTGTTGCAGGATCTCGACGCAGTGGAGGCGCTCATCCAGGGTCTGCTCATATTCCAGGGAGGAGTGCTGATGGTAAGAACACATACACACACTGCCCCAAGTTGTATGGATGTGTTCCTTTTGCGTGTCAAGGTATAGCGTCGTCCTAACGGAATGGTATTGTTTTGCAGGTGAGTCACGACGAGCATCTGATCACGGGGAGTGTGGATGAGCTCTGGGCGGTGACCGATGGCAAGGTCGCCCCGTTCCCGGGCACGTTCAAGGAGTACAAGAAGATGCTCACGACATAAACCTTGAAAAAGGACGGGACATAGGGGAAGGTGCTCACACAGACATACAGAGACTATATGTATGATATGTACTCCCTGGCATTGGAAACTGATGTAATATTATGCTTGTGGCCTACCTGAGGTTTGAATGTTTGAGCAGAACTATGCTACTACATACAATTTTGTTCCAACCTGCCTGACGATATGTATCGAGCTTGCGATTTTCTTGGACAAGCTTTGGAGGTGGTGCAAATATGCAATTTGGGTACATAAACATACCTCTACTTGCTGTACAACACATGCCTCCAACACAGGAATTTATTTTTCCATTTTTATGAGCAAACCGCTGCTGCCGCTCGGCCGCATCAGATGTTCCTACTGGTTGAAATCTCCTAAAATCTAGTGTTCAGTCGACACATCTTGCAGGCATTAAAATGGCAGAGTTGGCTCCGCCGGTTAATCACCTTTTCTTGCAGGCATTAAAATGGCAGAGTCAGCTCCGCCGGTTAATCATCTTTTGTTTGCATAGGACAACCTATTGTTCTTCAAGGCACTAGGAGAGGGGGTGAAAGAAGTACCTCTTTTGTTGTGTAACTATCGGGCCTTTTGTTTGCATATGACAACCTATTGTTCTTCAAGGTACTAGGAGAGGGAGGGTGGAAGAAGTACCTCTTTTGTTGCGTAACTATCGGGCATTTTGTTTGCATAGGACAACCTATTGTCCTTCAAGGCACTAGGGAGAGAGGGTGGAAGAAGTACCTCTTTTGCTGCGTAACTATCGGGCATTTTGTTTGCATAGGACAACCTATTGTTCTTCAAGGCACTAGAAGAGGGGGTGGAAGAAGTACCTCTTTTGCTGCGTAACTATTGGGCCTTTTGTTTGCATAAGACAACCTATTGTTCTTCAAGGCACTTGGAGATGGGGTGGAAGAAGTACCTCTTTTGCTGCGTAACTATCGGGCCTTTTAAAATCTAGTGTTTAGTCGTCACATCTTGCAGACATTAAAATGGCAGAGTCGACTTCACCGGTTGATCACTTTTTGTTTGCCGAGGACAACTTGTTGTTCTTCAAGGCGCTAGGAGAGGGGGCGGAAGAAGTATCTCTTTTGCTAACTATTGTCCGACTTCTGGGTACACATCAATAGGGATAAATCATCAATATATTTCAGTAAGGGCTGTCCGAATGACACTAGGAATGTGACCAAGAACATCTTCATGTGCCAAACGAATCATTGTGTGGAATGTATTTGGGTCTGCCTTCTGATGTTGGATCTTCAAAAAAATGGTTCGTTTGAATATCTAAAACATAGAATTTGGAACAAGGTGATTGGATGGATCGAGAAAAGTTGGTCAGTTGCAGAAAAGGAAGTTTTGTTTAAAGTCGTAGCTCAAACAATTCCGGTTTACTCTATGTCATGTTTTAAGCTACTGAGGGGCTTGTGTACTACTCTCATAAGGAAATCCTGGTGGGGTAGCAAGGACGGTAAACACAAACCAGCATGGGTTTCATATGAAACAATGACACAACCAAAGTTTATGGGTGGTCTAGGGTTTAGGGATTTTGAGCTTTTTAATCTCTCCTTGCCGGACCGACAGGCTCGGAGAATTTTACAAACCCTGGACAATCTAAGTGCACGGATCGTTAAAGCAGTATATTTCACATCGTGTACAATACTAGAGGCACAACTTGGTTCCCACCCTTACCAAATATGGAGAGAGATACTGAAGCACCTGATGTTCTTTGTCAATCAAGGTCTGATCAGGAGGATAGGGAGGGGGCTAGCACCAATATTTGGAACCAAAATTGGCTTCCTAGGGACGAGCTTATGAGACATCTTTTACCTCTAATCCCTAATCGACCGCAGATGGCGTGGGCGATATCATTGACTCTACTTCGGCAATCTGGAATATCAATTTGTTGCAGCAGGTTTTCCTCCGATCAGATTTTAGTGTCATCATCAACATTCCACTATGTACCAGTGTGCAATAGGATTTCTCGGCTTGGAACTTCGAACGCAACAACAATTTGCCAGTTCATTCTGCTTACCACATGGGTTGCTACCAAGAGGCGCAGAGAGGTATGGTTGGATCAACGTGCAGGATCATTTAATTCCGACGTTGAGAAACAGTTGGCGAAAGCTCTGGAAGGTGGAGGTCCCAGCGAAGCTGCACATGTTTTTGTGGCATTTAGCTCAAGTTTCACTTCCGTCTGAGGATGCAAGGCAATACAAGAAGATGAGTGATATTAGATGTTGTTCACTGTGTGTTGTCGAAGACTCTTGGAGATATTCCCTTGTCTTAACCCATGAACAAGGGTGAGTGTCGGTGTGGTTGTGCAGTCTAGTAGGGCACGTGCCTTTTATTTTGTTTTAGTTGAGACTTTTTTATTATGTGAGCCATGAACATTGAAAATTTTATGTGTGCCATGAGGGTTGTCATGGAGTCAGGTTTTTGTGACCGAGATGTGGTGAAAAAAGAAAGAATATGCTTGTAACGATCTTTCTTGGATGCAAATCTATGTAATGCATTATTGATATGTTGTCTATATATAACGGTGTGACCCTGTTGTCGAGGTGAAATTAAGGTGTGTTTCGTGTAAAAGGTCAAACGGTTTCTTGGTTTCTTACCTTCTCCATAGATAAACCATCAATGTTATCTTACACACAACTTCTACAAAGAGAATTAAATAAGACAATGAGATCAGCCTTTGTTTTATGTAGGGACGGTTAGGCCACAACGTGATGAGGTGGCTGTAGTAAGTTCAACATCAGCTAGTTCTTAAAAATGCAAAAGTTCAGGTAAAAATACCAGTCTAGTTGAGTAAAACAATGCAATTCCCCCCAAAAGGGAAAACTCCCTAATTTTGGAGCCCCCTCGTTCAAATGAAGCCATGAATTTGGGATTGGACACACAATTTTAATTGGGAAGTTGCCCTGTGCTTTGTTGTGCGATCTACTGATGGGTGTGTCCGTTTGGTAAGTGCCTGGGTGCATGTGGACCTTGGTTCACAAGAAGGAAGCGCTGCCTATGACAAGTTTAGCACCGGCATAACACGTGTACAACACTATTTTCTTTAACATCAGTACAAACACAAGCACTCATTTACACGCGTATACACTCATCCCTATGAACACACACTATTAAAAGTTGTCTCCTGATCACACTTTAAAAAGGACCCACCTAAACACCTCATTAAGAAAATATACTCCATTGTTTCCCCATACACCAAATGTAAATAATTTTGACAACTTAAAAGAAAAACCCTGTGCAACCCCAGGAACAAAACCGCCGAAGCGCACACTATCCTTCTAGTATGGAGATATTCCCCAAAACAACTATAAAGATCTGAAGTAGAGTAGAAGAAATCACATATGTCTGGCATTACACGTAGCGCACGTCGCATGCAGGTGACGATGCGTCCCCGACCTGCCTTGCGACGCACGACACCAGCTTCTCGCCGTCGTCGTCGACATGCCCCGTCGCCGGTATCCGCAGCGTCACGTCGAACACCAGCACGCCGCGCCTCGTGTCAGCGGCGAGCCCTTCCACCACGAACCCCGGCTGCGTGCGCTCCACCTTGCTCGCCCGCGCTACGACCGTCGTCCACCTTGCATTCCAAAGCATCCACGACTGGGCGCAGACCTCCCGGCCAAGGGCGCCGTGCGCGAGCGGGAAGCCGTGGTAGGCCACCCGTCACGGCGGTGCCGCGCTCCAGGCACATGCGGCCCCACAGCGGGCTCTGCGATTGCACGCCGAGGGACAGGGCGAACTCCAGGTTGGGCGGCCACCGCCCTCTGCTGAGACGGTCGTCGAGGCCCGAGACGGCGTCGATGGCCGCGTAGTAGCGCGGCGGTGTCGGATGCTTGCACGGAGCTACGAGCCAGACGGTCGAGGCGATGAGGACTACCAGGGCCAAGGCCATGCAGATGAGGTCACAGCGCGCCATTGATGAAGATGATTGCTTGTCCCGCCGGCTGGTCGAGCAGAGCTTCACTTGTTGATTATTGGTATGGCTTGCTCCAAATACAGATCGGAGGGGACCGCGTCTACTAATATATATGGGTCCATCGATTGCTTGCGGATTGCGTCTAAAAACACTTGCCATAAACTTCCTCTCTGGCCGAAATGTTCAGAAGGAAACTAGTAATAAATTTCTGTGCCTTCCTTTTATGTTTCAACTTTCAAGGCTAATATATTTCCGGGTCTGTCTAGAGCACATCTAAATGACTCAATCAAATTAGAAAGGAACATAAAAAGGACAAAAAAAATGCTTGCATGAATCTTGACGTAAAATCAATAACACATGACTTAGATGTGAAATGCTTAAGGCACAACTAGATGTGCTTTAGCAAAACCGTATATTTCCAAGTTTCCATAGAAAATGCAGTGCTTTTATCCTTTTACATGTCGGTTGCGACCTGGGGAAGTAAATTTTAATATGTCTTCCATTTCTTTTTTCGAGTGAGATGGCAAACTATTGTAGTATGTGAAAGTCACGCACCTGGTGCAGGTGGATTTCAGATTCTAGCAGATCCACATCGCTGCGTTTGTGTGTGTCCAAGTTACAGTATCAAACACTGAACTATGATCCTTTCATAAATTTTACACATGGCTCTATGTTGCTTCGATCTGAAACTGAGGGGTGACATTATGTGGGATCATAGAATCAAGTTTGGTTTTTGGGACCCACATGCCACATATACGACTCCAGATTGAAATGATCCAAAAGTAAAAGTTGTTTAGCTTAACGAGTCGAAGTCTGTTAATGTTGAAACTGTTTTCATTCAATGTCATCTTTGATTCTAAATGACAATTGGTCTTCGTGCCAGATTACTTAAATAAGCAACGGGGCGTTGTAAGTGGTAGAGTGGCCTTGCTGCCATGATCCACTGAGATCCAGCACCATGATATATCAGCTTGACACTTTTGCCACTGTACCTTCATTACGATATAACACTTTCACGCTCTTACCGATTTAACTCTATTATCATATAATGCCTTGCCGCTCTTACAGCTAGCAC